ATATGACTGGGTGTCGCGAACAGTGGCGTTCTTGTATCTTCTCAATTTCTTTGCTTCATTGGTCCACTCAGTTTCTCTATTTTCTTTTCGATCCCACTTCCAACTTTCCTTTGTTTCCCTATTCTTCATTCAAAGGGGCATCCAAAAAACAGGAACCAAAGCTGGTGCACGAATATGCGTGGCTAATTGTTGTACAAACTGAGCTGATCCTTCCTATTATTTACCCCATCACTTACTTTGTGTATTTTGTGAGCTTCGCAGCGGTTAGCGTTGTTCTATTCAGTGTATCTCGCAGTTCGATGATAATGATGACGATAATGATGACTGGTAACTTTGGACGGAATTTAAAAGCTGGCAAATTGTTTATTGCTGCAAAGTTACATGTTTTGTTCAATAGATCACCCAGTCGTCCTATGGCTGGCTCAAGTTTCAGCTACCGCGAACCAGCACCGCAAAAGGCGGATGACTGCAGATTATAGTCAACTGTTACACGTGTCTGGATGCAATCAGCGAAGTCCACCTCACTGTATTTCGCTGCACGATGATGATGATGATCATGCTGATGAAACTCTATGGCGACTGCTCAGGAAAATCGCCTAGTACCACTAATCTGAGAAGCATTACCTGAAAAACGCACGTTACTGAAACTGAAGGCAAGAAGAACGACTAAGCGGTTATCGAGATATTTGCTAGTACTTATCCATTCCGAGGTATCACATTTGAAGTGACTAGCGGAGTTACTTGTTTTTAGCGGGTAATCAACCACGAGAACTTGTAGCTTAGGTGGTGGGGCGTTGCCTGTACAAAAACGCAAACGATGTCCATGTGCAGGATCGAATGCCACCGGGTCCACTGATATTTTTATAAATCAAACATAAGACCATTGTTTTCTTTTGCATCGTTATTCAGCTAACGTCATCCGGTGGTCGAGTGAGTACTTATGATACCCTCGGTTCTATCCTCATTTGAATTGATGGATTCGCACTGAAGATGAGACCCAACCAGGTTTAAACAGTTGCCCGGTACTTCTTAGTTTTTCCGTTCACGCTCTATTCGTTCGGGCGGTGGTGGCCAAGTGGTTAGCTTACCAAATTGTGACCCAGAAGTCCTGGGTTCGAATTGCTCCACCACTGCCCGTCTTTCCCTATTTCTCTATTTCCCCTGGCAGCCTTTGTATGGCCTCAACCCCCTTCCTGAACGTGGACTGCACATTTGTATATTCAATAAACACAAAAGGAAGTAAAAAGATACTTTTTTATTTATTTTTCCGTACACGACAAACTGACTATATATTCAACTGAGATCACTTCATAATACCCCAAACAATGATCATTATACGACATAGGTCCCCGTTCATTCGACGTGCAGACAGGGCCCGTTAGATAGCAAACAAGAGAACCGATGCAAGAACCATTCAACGGGAAAATAGGCCCCAAGTGTACCAATTTAGGGGTACATTTACGATTACTGAGTAGTCAGCAGACAGGAGACGACCTGATTAACGACTTACCCACGAAGCGTGTTCCAACCAGTTCCAAGCGCATCAGTTGTGGAGCGCGTGCCAGAGCATAGAAAATTCGAACAAAGCGGAACACCCGTGAGGGACCACTACAGTTATTCATGACAAATGACTGTAGCTTGGAGGCAGAGAAGTTGGCAAACGGATCAGCTGAAGTAAAAACCACCTGGAAAAGACAAAGTCTCGTTTTAATACACACCTCAGATACTCATTCAGTTATAAAACACTATGGTGGATTTCCCGATAAAGGTCAGCAACACTTTGTGGTTCTACATCATTTCATTCTCTTCCCCGACAACTGTTGAGCTAATCCCGTTATAGAACACATTTTGGAGATGCTGTTAAGTGCACTGACAATAAATACAAACATCGTTCTGTGTCAAAAGTAAGTAGCAGAAAATTCCAGTTAATCAAACCGTAGAACAGAGTACATGACGAGACTTCACATGAGCCGCTAGAAGCGTAAATAGAGCTGAGCAACAGTTTAATTGTCCACAAAAGGGGCTAGCAGTAACGAGACACCGACCAGAAAGACACTGACGGCGATCCAGAACATGGTGATGGTGGTCGAACGGTTCAAGTCGCCGTCACCGGCGAGCTTTGGACCTTAGGGTCTGAGGTTCGAACCCCGTCATTCGGCTCAATACCACTCGACCTAAGGGGCCAGATGCGGTGTGCCACTCCAAGCCCCGGGGCTTAGGTTGCCGGTTTTTATGACTGAACAGCAGATCCTCATGACTATGGGGTCCATTCCTTCTGCTGGTCATCACACAGTGTAACAAAAAAGGATGAGTTCAGTAAGCTATATGAATAAATACATGTAACAAGAACATGTGGAAGCTTACCCATTTGAGATGCAAATACTTTATGTTGTCCAGACGTGGTATAGCACTGATGGCGACCGACGCCAAATCAAGCTTGGTCAAATTTGTAATTGTGTGTGGAAGTCCAATCCAGCTGGAATGATTTGGCAGCGGTGAAACAAGCCAAGGGCCGTGGGAATTCAAGGAACCCTGATTTGAGTACAGTTGTCGTACAAAATGTCGAACTGGAACACGCTGTGCCGCACGCGGAACGAAAGGCTGTTGTTGAGCTGCGGGACGCCCCTCGACCGGTCTGTTTGCTGCCGGGATAGGATTGCGATCATCCTGTCGAGCAGGCAGAGCGGCACCACCTGCAACGTGATGACGGGCCTGAGGAGGATCCATGCGACGACGGTTGCCGTGATTTTGATTGGCCAATACTAAGCCGTCCATAACCCCACCGGACGGTTGAGCCAGCAATACCGGTGCTGCTCCTCCCAAAGCTACATGTCCGAGCAAATGAGGAGAGATGAATACAGCACCAAAAGCCAGAGCCATAACGGGGCCATGATTATTAAGAGCAACCGGAGCTCCATCAGCCTGATTGTTTGAAACTCCGTCACGCCCAATAGGAGCGGCCGCTATTAGCTCCGCTTCGATAGGAGGCAGTCCCGGCTGAATGTACGGAGCCATCGCTATGTTACGAAACGCATCCAGGCCCCCTGTTGCATTGGCATGGGGTGGAACAGGTTGTAGATTGGCTTGATCATACCAGGGTAGCAAATTATTGCCGAAGGATACGGATCGGGTAGGAAGAAAGTGTGGGACAGTTGAAGGGGAACCTTGACCGAGTGGGGATTCACCGGCTGGTTCAAACCAAGTGGCCAGGCCCGCCAGTTTCACAGCACATTTGTGGGCAAAAACAGAGGCAGATAGCGGAAGTGATGAGTGCATATTGGATGGGGTCTTAGTGGGACTAGTATGTGAGGAGTTTGGTCGCGAGGGAGATCGGTGGGCTGAAAGACATTTGTTAGCCAGTCGCTTGATGTCAGCCGCGCTGAGGAGCTCATACGGTTTGCACTTGGACGTAGAAGAAATCGCAGCAGAGGCCGCTGTCAAAGAGCAAAAAAAGGCACTCGCGTGGCAACCAAGAACTGGCCGGTTGGAAGCCAAAGAATGAGATGTCTGATCGTCCGGTTGGTGTGCACTTAATGCTTCAATATCAGACCGCGTTTCAAAGCCAGACTGAGATTGGGAAACAGTCAACCGACTGTCTTCGGACGGTAAAGGAACGGCGTATTCGCAATCCCATGAATCTGGTCGGTTACGGAACATACCATGAAATTTGATACGTGGCAGATAATGAACCAACTTTCCCATTAGCTCAACGTCCATCAGTTCGACAGAACGAAGTTTGGGACAAATACGAAACGCTGAGATGATGCCTGCGTAGGTGAGCGAGGTGTTAGAACACATACGAGTGCTACCAAGACTGTGACAGTCGGAGGGATAAGAGCCGGTTATCTGGTGGGGATAGAAGCCAAGAATGTGGGTCACCTCTGGAGTACGGCTGAGTATACGTTTCAATGCGACATCGTTGATGGATTCAGGAAGAAATGCAAACGGCAAGCCATTACTAAAATTGATCCGTTTAACTAACAGCAGGTATCGTTCAACTATCGCCTTCAATCGTCGGCATACCAACTGCAATCGGAAGACGTCCTGGATACTCAAATAATGCGTGATACGGAAAAGGACTTCGGTGGGGAGCTCATCAAAGGCCTTTGGTGCACACTGCATCGCATGAAGCTGACGGCGCATAGACTCACGCCGAAGACGTGATCGGAGAGGATAAACGTGGCCGGTGGAACAAGCATCTTTCATTTTATTCGCAACGGAAACTGTTCCTGACCCATGCAGGTAATCTGTTGAGCTCAAATTGCCCCCTGGAGGTCCCGCCATCGTTGGCACCGCAGGTGTACCTGTCCGGGAGAGATGATCACAAAATCCAACTAGAAATATAAAAGAAACGATTGCCAATGATGAGTGGAAAACATAAACTGACGATGGACAATTGGAAATCTCAGTGTATGCCAAAAATCTCCGCTGTACAATCCTTTTCTCTCAGAAGACTGAAGCCTCTTAACGATTTCTAAAGTAATCGAAATCTACCAGTCATTATTGAAACGTGCCAACTAAGGATATCCATGGCATTTTGATACCTACGACAATAGTCATATTGTATGCTAACCCTAGGAATAAACTACAACAAACACCAAATAGCTGACGACGTTGATCTCAATTAATACATCATTAATGTGGTGAAGCGCAGTGTTTCCATCACCACAGAGTATACTGAACAAGAGACAAAATGAATATTATTATCAATGGATGCAAACTCGGAGGAAAAAGATAACCCTGAGGTACAAAGCGTCAACAGGAAAGTATATCCGACTACGGGTAAACAACATATAAGTTTACAAATGGAAAGCAACAGCGAAAAAGGCTAATTAACTTGTAAATTAGAACAAACAGTAGGCACTATCTCTTGTCATTAATTAGCACAGCCTGAATTCAGGAAAGCGTGTGCTTTAATAAATATCGGCGGATGAAAACAACTCAACCCGTCCAAATCTGGCTAATAAAAAGCTGTTTGTGGTTCGCAGTGGTAGCGGTAGCACTTTACTGACTCAATCTTATGTCAGCTATTGTTGTAATTTGAAGAACTTCACACATGAAGTGATTTACAGCAAAAAAAGGTAAAGGCCACAATCTTTGTTTCCAGAAGACTAGAGTGCTTCTGACAATGTAAAACAGAATTAGAAAGCCGGTGACAGCTAGCTCATACTAAAGAAATGGAGACCGCAAAATTGGCACTCAAAACGTGATGCTCGTTGGCTCCGTAGAGCGCTAAGTGTCAGTGGCAGCACGTCCACTGGACAATAGCCATGAAAAGTAGAGGTAATTCAGTAGTTCAACAGCCTGTAACAAACAAAATAAACTAAAGATTGAATTCCGGGGTAATCTGTCTCTGCATTGTGCCAAGATAGCTTTCACATCAGAAATTCAGGGAAATTCGAGGAAACGTTTGTATCGTAAGACCGATTTTTTGGAGAGGTATCACGTTTGCATCCTGAAACAATCATCAACGAACCTCCAGTCTACCTGAGGACGAAAGTCACCAGACATCATAAACCATTGTCACCTCTTTATTCGCCGTAGCTAATCCGGGCTGGAGGAAACCACGTGGAGGTCAACAGATGACGTGGAGATGAGGCATGNAGAAATGCACAGAGCCATTAGGTGGAGTGGGTCTCTCGCCTTCCAGTTTGGGATCCGAAATACTCTACAATTTGTTGGTTGGAGACATTGAAGGATATGGCAGCGAACCGGCAGCAGTGGCGTTCTTGTTGTCGTTTCTTATCAGATCAGAATGCTTGAAACAGTATGAATGCAGAGTTCGATTGCGTACTCTGTGTTAACCATAGTGATTCACTTTCTCCCTCCCTGAAAATAGATCCAATCCCTGTCCACCTTAAATTTTACCACTAACTTTGGCGAGTTTGGCAGCGTTCAGTGAAGTTCGCTTCCCTGTATTTCGATGTACGACGACGACGATGATGGTGATGGTGAACTACTTCTGAGAGATGTTTACTTACTTCGGTTGTCAAGCCTAGCTTACTTGGTGAAAGTGAACAAAACCATAGTGAACCGTAATTCGAATCGGGTATCCGTTTTTCACATTTTTCACTTCAAAGAAAAAAGGCTTTGCCAAGAACAGTAGGGGTAAGTTACCGTAATCACCAGGTGGCGAACCACTTTAGCCAACAGATACAGGTACAAAATAGTGCCACTAGGTGGTGGTGGCGCAGTGGTCTAGTCGTTGTCGTCGGCGTGCTTCAGACCCTGTGGTCCCAGGTTCGAGCCCCGCCAACGCCACCCAACTTTGGCGGTAGACAGGTTTGCTGTCGTCCGGTTCAATACCACGCTTAACCAAGTGGGGCCTAATGTGGTTCGCCACTCTAAGTCCCGGGGCTTAGGTTGCCGGTTTTCATCACTGAACAGCAGGTTCTCGTGGTCATAGGGCTTTCTCCTCTGCT